TAACAGAAAAAAAACAGTTTTGTTTGAGCCCTTTTAAGGGCATATAACTTCCTAAGGGTGCGTTTTAGGGCACATGTTAATAGGAACTTTTTGGCTTATTTTAATGAGTTATAAACGCAGCAGAAGTTTGGAACCCTATTTTAGAAACACCCTGTATATATACTGGGTGGGCCATTAGTCCACTAGTGTGAGAAAGTAAAATAACTCCCATGTTGTTCATGATACAGAAAAAAGTTTATATAAAAGTTGTATGGAATCAAAAAACCTAAAGGGCACAATTAATTTGAAACACACAGGACTATGAATAAAAACGGGACACGTCAAATATTACATTTTTTAAATGGAACACCCTGTATATTTTTAAACATATGGATTTGGCATTTTAGTGCGGGGTTGCCAAGTTATGTAGAAAATTCTTCGAATTTTGGAAAAGAAACATGACCTCGAAGAAATTGTATTAACTTTCAACTACTAACACTTGGAGCAAAAATATTTGACAGAGTTATAGGCAAATGTTAGGTAGACTCCTATATTAGCTAATATCGATATTTTGATACAGGGCATTTTTTTTAATACGATCATTTTCAGAAAGTGCAAACTTGATTTTCTAAAATTTTTTAAATGGAACACCCTGTAATTTATTGTTCTTTCTTTATTCACATATCACTCATATCAGTCTACTTCAACTTTTATTAAGTATGTTCTACACCTAAAGTTGTTAGTTTTTAAGATATTGCAAGTAACATTTCTGGAAAAAACAAATTTTTATTATTTTCGGTCGCATGAAATGGCTTTGGAAAATACTGTCATATTGCGTCAACTTGTGAGTTCATAATTTATCATTGCATTTAGAGTTAATTTTATTAGTCAATATTTATCTGTGGTATTCTATAAAATAATAAAAATTATTTTTTTTTTCAGGAATGTTGCTATATCTTAAAAACTAACAATTTTAGATATAGAACATGCTTAATAAATGTTGAAGTGGACCGATATGTGAATAAAATAGAACAAAAAAAATACAAACTTTCTAAAAGTGATCATATTATAAAAGATGCCCTGTATAAAATATGGATATCAGCTACCATAGGAGTCTGTCAAATATTTTTGCTCCAAGTGTTAGTAGTTAATACAACTTTATTTGCTTATTTGTATGTTAGTTAAAAGGGGTATCGATTTGACAATCCATTCATGCAGAAACACCTAACACCCATTCGTTTCTCTTTCCAGTGGCAACGCTGTTCCCCACGATCTAGCGGTCTTCAGGCTGGCCACTCCCCTCACCCTCAACTCTCTGGTTCAACCAATCAATCTCCCGGACATATACGAAATATTCGAGGGCAACGCAATCCTGTCAGGATGGGGATCCACTAGTGGCACTGAGGTAGCCAACATGCCCCTTACCCTCCAATTTGTTGAGGTACCCATCATCCTTCCTGAAAGTAAGTCCAAAATACCTTTCGAGGTCTGAAGAAAACCCTAAACAATATTTTTTTGCAAGCGTGCAAGCAAGCTTTGGATGCCATACTAGGAGGCACGCCAAATCCACTGGACTTGGAAGCCAACATTTGTACAGGACCATTGACAGGAGGAGTCGGTATTTGTTCTGGAGATTCTGGCGGTCCACTGGCTGACGCCCAAGGACAAAAACTAATTGGTATCGCGACATGGACAGCCAATCCATGCGGTAGACCAGGAGCGCCTTCTGTCTACAACAGAGTTAGCCAGTACATCAGCTGGATCACAAGTTCTATCTCTGTCTAAGTACGTTCAATTCATTTATTACCTATTTAGTTTGCGAAATAAAGTATTAGTTCGCTATGTGATCTTTGATTTGCCAACATACCTCCAAAACTATAATTACATTCTATAAAAATGTTTTAATTTTAGCCAGGTGTTTATCCAGATTTGTAATCACCGGTTTTTCCATTATAAGTCTCGTAATCAATTAAACGTTATTGCAACACATGTTAAATTTCAATTGTTTTCGACTGTCAATACGTACCTTGATTATAAATTTATTTGAATTTAAGTCAAAAGAGAAAATAAGTTTCAGTTAATATTTTTAAATATACTACTGATAGATAAATATATCTTTATTAAGATTTAAGATACACCATATTTCATTCAAAATTGGAACGTAGTATTAATTGTTTATTACTCTCAGAGCAATTTTATTCCGATTTTTTTTTACTTACTGCCAGAATAATCCGTTTTTGAGAAAAATTATAACATTTTAGTCAAAAATTCAGATAATTTCTGCAAAACACCAAATTCAATTTCTCCAACAGTTTTTTGAAACTTGATATAACCATATATCGTCCTTAATTGTGAACACCCTGTACAGGGTGACCCCAAACTGTCTGCTGCCATTACAGAAAAACAAAAAGAGGAAATTGGAAACTGTATAGTGATATAAGTACTTGACTTAACATCTTTCACAAAAATTGTTGGGGAAAATAATAAAAAATTATGCTGCAAATATTCCCGCTTGCGGTTTTCTATTTGCTCTTACCGTTTTCCTGTAATTGCGGCTAATCTTCAGTTCTGTACCGCCATGTACACTGTTTTTTTTTGTTACTTTGTATCGTAGAATCCGCCATTAAGTTTAGAGAAGCATTTTGGTAAGGTGCTAAAACTGACACACATATACATATACATATCTTAGATCCCCTAAAGACTGAACAACTTTGTTTTGATAAAGATTTAAATTTGTTCAAGAAGTTGTTACCTCTGAACTTAGTGTACGCATGAAGTTAAAATTAGTGCCATAATAAGGTTTCACTTTTGTATAGACCAGACTTTGCTGCGGAAAATCTCCCGATAACACTTAACTTACTAATCCAATAAGGTAAAAAAATCAATCAAATCGATCCTGACTTAAGTTTACCTGTCACCGATGTTCAGATATTAGCTAAGAAGTTAATCCGACTTGGAAAAAGTAATGAAAATGAAACAATATTGTATAAGGAGGTTCATACTCAAAACAATTTATAAAACAAAATTATGAACGAATAAAATCAAGGCTGCTAGGCAATGCAATTAATTGTCTCTATGGGCAAGTTTGGTCTTAACCAAGTTGCTTAGCTTTTACAACGCTTTTGGGTTTTTTCTAACATCATTGCTTTCATAAGATTATCTAGATCAGTGTTGCCAATTACGAATTAATTTCATAACTTCATTTTAAAAGATGATACAAAAACCACACTGATTCTCGCAGGTAGTCCAAAATGGAATTGCTACCGTGTTCTAACCTTTGTTAGCACTACCTTGAATAAGTACTGGAATCAAGGAAACATCACGTTAGTTGTTTGAGATTATTACTAAACTGAATCAAANCCTTACCCTCCAATTTGTTGAGGTACCCATCATCCTTCCTGAAAGTAAGTCCAAAATACCTTTCGAGGTCTGAAGAAAACCCTAAACAATATTTTTTTGCAAGCGTGCAAGCAAGCTTTGGATGCCATACTAGGAGGCACGCCAAATCCACTGGACTTGGAAGCCAACATTTGTACAGGACCATTGACAGGAGGAGTCGGTATTTGTTCTGGAGATTCTGGCGGTCCACTGGCTGACGCCCAAGGACAAAAACTAATTGGTATCGCGACATGGACAGCCAATCCATGCGGTAGACCAGGAGCGCCTTCTGTCTACAACAGAGTTAGCCAGTACATCAGCTGGATCACAAGTTCTATCTCTGTCTAAGTACGTTCAATTCATTTATTACCTATTTAGTTTGCGAAATAAAGTATTAGTTCGCTATGTGATCTTTGATTTGCCAACATACCTCCAAAACTATAATTACATTCTATAAAAATGTTTTAATTTTAGCCAGGTGTTTATCCAGATTTGTAATCACCGGTTTTTCCATTATAAGTCTCGTAATCAATTAAACGTTATTGCAACACATGTTAAATTTCAATTGTTTTCGACTGTCAATACGTACCTTGATTATAAATTTATTTGAATTTAAGTCAAAAGAGAAAATAAGTTTCAGTTAATATTTTTAAATATACTACTGATAGATAAATATATCTTTATTAAGATTTAAGATACACCATATTTCATTCAAAATTGGAACGTAGTATTAATTGTTTATTACTCTCAGAGCAATTTTATTCCGATTTTTTTTTACTTACTGCCAGAATAATCCGTTTTTGAGAAAAATTATAACATTTTAGTCAAAAATTCAGATAATTTCTGCAAAACACCAAATTCAATTTCTCCAACAGTTTTTTGAAACTTGATATAACCATATATCGTCCTTAATTGTGAACACCCTGTACAGGGTGACCCCAAACTGTCTGCTGCCATTACAGAAAAACAAAAAGAGGAAATTGGAAACTGTATAGTGATATAAGTACTTGACTTAACATCTTTCACAAAAATTGTTGGGGAAAATAATAAAAAATTATGCTGCAAATATTCCCGCTTGCGGTTTTCTATTTGCTCTTACCGTTTTCCTGTAATTGCGGCTAATCTTCAGTTCTGTACCGCCATGTACACTGTTTTTTTTTGTTACTTTGTATCGTAGAATCCGCCATTAAGTTTAGAGAAGCATTTTGGTAAGGTGCTAAAACTGACACACATATACATATCTTAGATCCCCTAAAGACTGAACAACTTTGTTTTGATAAAGATTTAAATTTGTTCAAGAAGTTGTTACCTCTGAACTTAGTGTACGCATGAAGTTAAAATTAGTGCCATAATAAGGTTTCACTTTTGTATAGACCAGACTTTGCTGCGGAAAATCTCCCGATAACACTTAACTTACTAATCCAATAAGGTAAAAAAATCAATCAAATCGATCCTGACTTAAGTTTACCTGTCACCGATGTTCAGATATTAGCTAAGAAGTTAATCCGACTTGGAAAAAGTAATGAAAATGAAACAATATTGTATAAGGAGGTTCATACTCAAAACAATTTAAAAAACAAAATTATGAACGAATAAAATCAAGGCTGCTAGGCAATGCAATTAATTGTCTCTATGGGCAAGTTTGGTCTTAACCAAGTTGCTTAGCTTTTACAACGCTTTTGGGTTTTTTCTAACATCATTGCTTTCATAAGATTATCTAGATCAGTGTTGCCAATTACGAATTAATTTCATAACTTCATTTTAAAAGATGATACAAAAACCACACTGATTCTCGCAGGTAGTCCAAAATGGAATTGCTACCGTGTTCTAACCTTTGTTAGCACTACCTTGAATAAGTACTGGAATCAAGGAAACATCACGTTAGTTGTTTGAGATTATTACTAAACTGAATCAAATTTTTCATGATGATTTTGATATTGTCACATCCGCTGTTAAACTATAAATTTCCTTTGTCCATTCCTTTTTTTCATAGCTGTTCCAGGTACCTTAGGGTTCCCAAGGGGTATATTTTTGGTAGTAGCGACACAAACAGGTAATAATTCCCATCCATAGCCTCCCTGCAGTGCTACGGGCTTAAATTCTGTTCACACCTGTTGTTTGTTACGTGTTCTGGATTTTAAGAGCTTGATGATAAACTGATATCAAACAAGTATATAAAATGAATCATAACTATCGAATCGGTATCAGTTAAGATGAAGTCTGCTTTAGTGTGGTTGTCGGTCCTTTTCGTTGGAGCCTATGGTGAGTAAGCATTTTTTTCTAGAGGAAATAAAAATGTATTCATAAAGGGTGCTCCATAATATCGTATCACAAATTCTAAAAGCGACAAAGTTTTATTAAAGTAATATTTTTAAGTTTGTCAACATCTTCAAAGTGTTGTCCTATATTGTGTTGAAATATGTTTCGATATCTCAATAGCCTACTTTGATTAGTTTGATTCGTAAGTAATAACGTTTCTTTTTCGAGAAAAATGGCAATAATTTTAAAAGGATCCGTCACATTCTCGTTGTGTATATTGTTTATTCAAATAATTACAAAAATTACCAATTTACCTAGAACAGAAAGTTTTCACAAATGAATTAAATACTGTGGAAAACTAATAGTCCTGTAGCCAGGGCGGTCCCAATTGCCTCCTTCGTTTAGATGGACTTACCCAAGTGTTTTTTATATATTTTGAGCTGCAGAACACGAATTTTTTGGGTAGGAGTTTGCCCGGATGTCGATAAGTTTTTATTAACCAAAAACTTGCAAAATACTGAGAACATAGTTTTTGGCAAAATAAAATATTTTCTTATTCTTTGACCCATTTTAAGAAGAAAATGTCTCTTGCAATTTTTTTGTTAAACGCATAGTTTTCGAGATAAATGCCGTTAAAAACTCGAAAAATGCAATTTTTGCGATTTTCAATTGTTCAATTGTAAGAGAGTGGTTGCCTTCTTACAGGCGTTTAATACACGATCTCGACGCGTACTCTGAAAACTGAACGAAACATTAACAATTTAATGAAAATTTGTAATATTACAATAACTAAAATTCAAATTTTTGTGACAAATAATGCTAAGATCTGATTCAATTAAGCTATTCATCTTGTAACATGAACGTTAATAATTCTACATCTTCAGTGCAATTTTGAAGCGCGACTACAAACATGTTTTAAAAATAAATGACAATCGTTTAAAACAAAATGCGCGGAAAAATTGAAATATCAAAGATATAATGTTTGCATGGTTAATTCTAATTTACAATATTGCTATTGCATTGCTATTTTATTTTGCCAAAAATTAAGTTCTGAGTATTTTGCAAGTTTCTGGTTAATAAAAAATTTATCGACATCCGGGCAAACTTCTACCCAAAAAATTCGTGTTCTGCAG